ACTTTTAAGCAAATTAATCAATGTTTAATTAGTCTAATTTGTATTAGTTCACATCAAGCTGTCAAGCATTAACTTCTTAAATAATCACCTACCTTTGCTCCTAATAACCAAAATTATATCCAACAATAATCGAAAATAATGCTAGGAACAAGAGTTGAAACAGCGAAGATTTTGTATGTGTAATATTATTTATATTTTATATAATTAATAAGATATTCTGTACTTTTAAATTTATGAAATATCAACGACAAAGTGGTCAACTAGATAAAAAGAAAAATAAACATATACTTAACATGATTTTATTCCATAAAAATACATATAATATGTTACGTCTGTCACAGCTAATACTATATATAGCCCACTTCTTGGACGTGATTTTATGCAATAAACATGGAAATAATGTTATATATATGTCTCACCTAAAACTTTGTCGTCAAAGAAGGTCCATTTTTGAAATAACGTAAACGATCACTCCATCTAAAACAGTAAAACACTATCGTTCCTATATCATAGTTTTACACAATAAACACATAAATCATGCGACACATCCATCCCATTGAAAACTTTAACAGAAAACATTTATCAATTTTAATGAGTTATACTCATGTCACGTTTTTCTGTCAATAAACATATTACAAAATCTGGTATGTTCATTTCATCTAAAACTTTATCGAAAACTATTGATTAGTTTGACAGCTAATTTGAAAAAATAGAAATCACGCATGCATGGTGGAGGAAAATAATACAGCTACGCAAACGCAGTGTTTACAAGGTGCAAAATGTGAAGGGATAAATCCAGATTGAAAATGACTTCTACAACATTATTGTTTCAAAACTTAAATTTTATTTCCCCCCTTATACATTACTTAATAACATTCACCCCCTTAGGCGTCTAAAACAGTAACTTATCCAATGTCATCCCTGCTCCGTTAGGGTTTTCGTCATCTGATTAACATATATCACCCTTGTTTCGTTAAACTAAACACCAACACCTTAATGGACTTCTGACCGATGATAGGGAGTAATTTGTTATTTTCTAAAACTATGGTTAATTATGTTCACATTGTATTAATAAAATAGATAATGAATCTGGAAAATATGGGTGAATTGAATAATGAAATAATGCAGGTTGCACAGTTGGATAGCTTCTGTTAACGTGCAACCGTACTATGTTGTTTGTTAAATTTAATTAATTAATTAATTAAATTCTCAATTTGGATAATCAGATCAATCATTTGTAGATCATATAATTTTATACTAATGTTCAATCATTTCATGTGGACTATATACATATATTATTATTATTACATAAATGTGATGTAAGGATGATGAGAATAAAAATTATCATNCAACACCTTATTGGACTTCTGACCGATGCCGTGATAGGGAGTAATTTGTTATTATCTAAAACTATGGTTAATTATGTTCACATTGTATTAATAAAATAGATAATGAATCTGGAAAATATGGGCGAATTGAATAATGAAATAATGCAGGTTGCACAGTTGGATAGCTTCTGTTAACGTGCCACCGTACAATGTTGTTTGTTAAATTTAATTAATTAATTAATTAAATTCTCAATTTGGATAATCAGATCAATCATTTGTAGATCATATAATTTTATACTAATGTTCAATCATTTCATGTGGACTATATACATATATTATTATTATTACATAAATGTGATGTAAGGATGATGAGAATAAAAATTATTATAAATAAACAAACTAAATTCCTTTTAAAAAAAATATTAAAGTTATTTAATGAAGCCTGCATTTGAAACAACAATGACATTTGTGGGAGAGATGGTTGGTCATTCTGCATTAGGCTACCCTGCCATTATTGTGGGCACAATAACTGGTGTATTAGAGGTGCAACCTTCTCAATCCTCTTGTACTAGGGAAAGATTCTCTTAATGCGATTCTCTTAATGCTCTAACACTCACATCGGATAGAGATCGAGCTGTCTCTCTATATAACTAATTATTATTTATTTATTTAATTGATGAGTAACAATAAGAAATTATGTATTTATTAATTTGGAATATTTACAATTAATGAATAATAAAAAATAATAAATCAAATTTTAAATATGTTAATTAAATTATCCTTCAATTATAATATGTTTCTAATATATATGATCACTTTAATTCAATAAGTTCAAACCCCAAATTTGGTTTTTTACATCATATTCAAAATTTTCTTTGTTGAACATTTTTTTTCCTTTTCTACTTAAAAAGAAAATTAATTGTATTACAAACCCATTGAATATTATTGACATAAACAAGCTTTGAATATGGTATGGTTAGATCCCATTCAAACTTTCCTTTAATATGATTACGAGAGGGTTCAATTTCGAATTCATTTTTGTAAAACTAGATCAATGTATATTGGGACCTAATTATAGGTATGTCGAATATAATTAATATAATATTGTATACAGTGGTGGATTTACTTAATGACAAATGGGGACCACGGTCCCCACTCAAACTTTAAAAAACTTCAGATTGTATAAATATTTATATTTAGTTGTATTTTACCCCTTATAAGACTTTTTTTTGCCCCCACAAATTTTTTTTGTTTATTTTTTGCCCCCATCGAGTGAAATTCCTAGATCCGCCACTGATTGTATATGACGTATCAAAAAACGACCCCATGATCCAATAATTATACATTAAATCAGTAGGGTTTTTCAAGATTATAGAAAAAGATTCATATTTTTTTAGGCACGTTAGAAATGATGCAAAAGCAGAAACTTTACACGAAACCAAAAATTAAAAAAAATAATAATAATAAATAGGCAAAAGCAAAAGCCAAATTTGTTGCCAAAAAAAAGTTGCAGAAAATGAGAAATGGCCTGGGCTTCGTTAAAACGACAAGTTGCAGTGAAAAGATTCTTGGATAATGTTATATTTATACCACTTTTTTACATTATTTTCATTACATTATGATATAGTATATATCACAATTATATAAATTTTTAATTATTTTTAATTTTTAATATTATAATAAAATTTATATAATTATGACATATATCACAACAACATGATATAATAAAAATAGTATAAAAGAGTTTTGTAAACTTAGCATTAGACCAGATGCCTTGCCTCAAAGACAAAAAGCTTTAAACAAATGAATTGTAACCTTTCTTTTCATCCGTCTTTCTGGAAAAGAATATACCGCTTCCCACCGTCTCTTCTGGAGCGTGACCCCGAATTCCGAGGAATGATGATTGTTAAATGGGCGCGTGTAGAAAGAGGGTGCGTGGAAGCCGTCGTGGGAAAGGCTTAAAGTGACACGTAGGTTAGAGAAGTCCAGTAACAAACAAAAGCGTTAAAGAAACATTCACAGTCACGGAATTGTACTGCAATGGGCTACGGAAAAAGTGACTCTTCCGTTAATTGCGGATTTGAAACGTTTATTTTATTCTATTCTATTTTATTTGTCCCTCCATTATTATATTTCAATAATAAAGACTATAAAATGTCTGATATTAAGACTTTGGATTTATTTTACAAAAAAGCCCTTTTATGGAATATGTACATGGTAATGTATATTAAGAGTCACATTATTTTACATATGTATCACGCATGCATTCATTTTTAGAACGATTAATCATAATTCCAAATAATAAGTGGAAGAGAAAACAAAAATACATGTGGCATATTTTTTTTGGAAGATTGTACAAATTATGTGGTTCAACTAAAGATTTTTTGAATTAATCAAGTAAATTTTATTCTAAAATACAAAGTTTTCATGATATTGTATAAATATAATTAGGAAAATAAAATATTTACTAATGTTAAAGCTACTTTTATAATGTGACATATAGTTATGAGATTGAAAACAAATAAATCTTATAATAATACCAAGTTGAGAAAATGTGGGTAAATATTACAAAAGGCAAATAGCATTTTGAGATTTCAATCACTTTAATAATTATATATTAATATAATTGATTCTAAGATACTACCCATAAAAGTAAATAAACAAATAATTTATTATAAACAAGATTTTAATTAAATGTGTAATTAGTAGACTAATTACACATTTAAAGTGTAATCTATTTTTTTATTAGCACATTTATTATCTTAATTTCATGGACTATTGAGTTTGTGGAAAGGTCATATACTCACATAGAAATGTAAACCAAAGCTTAGTGGAAAGGTTAGATTTCTCTTTATCTTTTTAAAAGTAAATATGATCTTCAACAATAGTGTAAAGTGATTGAAGATATTGTCTCCTCACTTTTCTTTTGTGATAAGGGTCAAGTATAACCATGTACAAAATTTAATTTTTATTCTTCTAAACATTATATTTTAATACCTCAAGTCTAATTTTATTTCTTTAATCTCTTTAGAGATTTATTCGATTCTATTCTTAGACATTCCGAATAGTATTCAAAACTGTAGAGCTTGCAACCTTTGTGCTTGTAAGCCCAGTCATGCAATACGTTAGTATACATTCCAATTCCAATGTCATTTTATATGATACTAACAGATGATATTAACTATTCTTGGTTAAGAGGTTTTAAGTTCGATTCCAATTTTAATATCAAAGGATTAGTCAAAATATACGCAAACTAGTTCGACACCTCTAATTAAAAAAAAAAATGATGTTCATCGACATAATTTACATGTATTGATCGAACGTACATATCTCATCTCATCAAATATTTTTTTAATTAATAAGTGTGAAATTAGTATTTATCATATAAATTGCCCCCCAACTATACCTTATGAGTCATGACCCAACTTCTACTCCTCGCTGACTCATACACAATGCACAAACAAATATTCAGTTCAAAAGAAAAAAAAAAAAAAAGTAAAATATAAAGACAGAGTAACACTTAATTAATTAGTTTTTTAATTTATTTTATTTTATTTATTTTCTCTCACTAATTGTACCTGCCAAGTACTCCTACCTGTAACTCTCTCTCATCATCACCTTTCTGTGTCTCTCTCTCCTCCCCCTTTATATATTCCTCTCCACTATCTCTTCTCGCCCAAATTCCTCTCACAAATTTGCCTTCGCTTTCTCGCGTTTTTTCTCGCCAGCCAAACACACCATTCCGACCTCAAAATTCACTTTCTTAACTTTCTCAACAACTTCTTCCAAATGAAGCAGCTCATCCGCCGTCTCTCTCGCGTCGCTGATTCCTCTCAGTACAGCCTACTCCGCTCCGACTCCCGCCGCCCTTGCCGACCGTTCCCCGCTGCTGCTATCACCAAATATTCGGCGCGCCGCTCCGCTAACTCCAAGCCTGTCCCCGAAGGTCACGTGCCGGTCTACGTCGGCGACGAGATGGAGCGTTTCGTCGTCAGCGCTGAGCTCCTGAACCACCCGGTCTTCATCGGTCTCCTCAACAAATCGGCTCAAGAGTACGGTTACGAACAAAAAGGAGTTCTTCATATTCCGTGTCACGTGCTCGTCTTTGAGCGAGTCATGGAAGCTCTTCGTCTTGGTCTTGAGTCACGTGACCTCCAGGATCTGATTGGCTCCTCCTTCTCCGATGAGTTTTTCTAGAGTTTTTTTTTTTTTTTTTTTTAATTTTAATTTTCTTTTTTAGTTAGATCTTGATACAAATATAAATCTATATATATGAATATATAAATATAGTGACAAAACGAGATCGTGTTGGGGGATTTTTCTTGTAAATATATCCTTTTTTGCCGTNGGTCTTGAGTCACGTGACCTCCAGGATCTGATTGGCTCCTCCTTCTCCGATGAGTTTTTCTAGAGTTTTTTTTTTTTTTTTTTTTAATTTTAATTTTCTTTTTTAGTTAGATCTTGATACAAATATAAATCTATATATATGAATATATAAATATAGTGACAAAACGAGATCGTGTTGGGGGATTTTTCTTGTAAATATATCCTTTTTTGCGGTCTTTTTGTGAAAATTTGTAGGGCTTGTAATGATGATGTGTCGTTGTTGTTGAAGGTGGTCTATGTAAAGCCGTAAAGGGAACTGAAGCTCAGCAACAACCAACAATTAATTGAGAAACTAAAATGCAAATCACTACTTGCCGATTTTGCCCTCTTTTATTTTGTTTCTTCTGAGTAATAACTGTGATTTTTTTGTGCTGCTACTAGCTCCAGATGCTGTTTGGCTGCTGAGAAAATTTTGTGTTAGGTGGTCGTAAAGAAGGGTAGAAAAGGAATATGATATAATATTTTATTTGAGTCGAGTTCTAATGATCAAATCTATATTAAATTACGTTAAATAAAAAAAATAAAAATAAAAACTCCTAAATTAAGTTCAGATTTTGGACGGAATGGTAATTAAGGGGAATCGGTGGTGTTTGTTTGGTAATGTAGAGAAGAGGTGAAGGGGTAAAATGGGAATGTTGAGAAAATAGGATACAAACATCATTTGGGATACTGTTGAAGGGTAAAAATGGAAATAAGAATTAAGTTGAGTGGGGAGTGGGGACCCATAATAATGGGATATACCATATGATGCCAATATGCAGAAGCTGACTGAGAGCATCTAAGAAAGTGCATGCGTTACCATTCCTCTTTTTTTTTTTTTTTTTTTTTTTTTAAATAATTACTAAATTTTCTTTTTTTGTTGTGATCGTAGTATTCAAGTCAGTTTACATATATCTTCAATAATTCTCTCGAACCCTAGTTAATGGATCAGGTAAACCCTCCAATGGTCTCCTCTATTAGTAATCGACAAAAATCAAACTCAAGACCTTTTGAATAATATACTCAAGAGTTCCTATTGTCTCATCAGGCCACACAGTTCTTATTTTTATTTATTTATTTAATTTTTTTTTTTCAATGAAAATCTTATAGAAAATGAGTATATATGTGTTCGTCTAATTAGTAGAAAACACACTAACAACTTAAGTTTGTTATGACCAGATATGTAAACCAACAAATGATAACTCTATTGACATAGAATATACATTTCATATCGATAGATTTTAGGAACCATTAATAAGCCAAATATATAATAAGAAAGTTTAGATCTATGAGTGTGATAGATTATAACAACTGTTTAGTAGATGTATATAAATAGATTTATACATCATTATCCAAACGACAGATTTCAGATTTTATATAGATAGATTCTATCAAATACAAGACAAGATAGTACATATTAATGCCGATGATAGATTCTAGAAGTCATTAAATAGGTATACAAACGATAAATGATAAATTTATTAACAAAGAAGATAGATAACAGATGTTAAAAAACTAGATTTTAAGACCCAAATATATGACAAGATAGTGCTTATAATGTGTAAGCTATAAATTTTAAGAGCCATTTAGATGATAAAACATATTACAAAGGTTTTGTAGATTATAAATCAAGTTATATAATGGGTGTTTGTCTGAGTTTAAGTTGGTCAAACTAGCTTATAAGCTCTAAAATTAAACTGACATGTTTGTTTATAACTTTTTTGAACTTATAAGCAAAAAAAAAAAAAATTATATATATATATATATATAAACACGTCGTTTATAAACTAATTTGACCAAGTATATTACCATATTATCCCTATTTAATTTTAAAATTTCATAATATATCCTTATTTTTATATTTCAAACAGGTCATGTTATTATAGTTCCCTTTTTAGTTATTTCAATAATAAAATGTACTTATAAGCCATATTTTACTAAACGCATCAACTACTTATCAGTCACTTATAAATACTTTAAGCAAATAGGTAATTGTTTAAATTTCAAATGCTTATAAACTCAAATTAACTTATAAATACTTGGTACTTATAAGCTAATTTTCATAAGTTTAGACAAACAGTGTCAATAAATCTAAATGTCCACCAATCAAGCAAAATTAACACAAAAGTATAGACAATGCAGCGGCCAAGTAAAGCGTACATGAATAATATGTTGGTCCTTGGGGTGATTGAAAGGGGGTTGGAATGGATTTCCCTTATCTTAAACAGTGCGGAAAATCCGGCAGTTAATCAGCCTAACACTAATGATTAATGAAAGAAACTAGATTACATGCTTAATTCAGCGTTTATTTCCACCTAATAATTCATTAATAATAATCTCTTAAACATCTGCCACCTAATTACATTAGGTAAGTTCTAGGTGCTTCTGTCTTTTATTATTTTTTTACCTTCTATTATGAATTTGGTGGAGGCAATTTTTAGATGATACAGTATATAACGTTATCAAGGTAAGAATTTTTGACTATAAATTTGTATTTTAGTATTTATTGCCGATGTAATAATTATGACTCAAATTTTATAAAATTGCATACGTGCGTAATAGAGAAGAACTCGATATATATATATTATAAAACCCGATACGAGCCACATTAAAGAAATTGAATTATCTTTTATGAAGCGCTGCCATATCGCTTTGCATAGATATGATACCATTTTTTTGTGGGGGACATATAAAATTTATTCTGATTTAGCATAATGAAGTAACTTTTGGGGGGAATTTAATTAAAATTGATTAAGATGATAAATGGTGATTAAGAATAACATTAACATTGTGAGTTGGTTAAGGTGTCACAAAATTACAAGTTTGGTTAGTGGAGTTAAGTAGTGGGAGAATCTTAATTTTTGGATTATTGCATGAAAATTGGATAATTAAAAGACCCCACAAGACACCAAATTTCATAATTTTTTTTATGGGATTTATTTAATTAATATGGATGGATTCATCACTAATCAAGAAATTAAGTTTAATTGTTGAATTAATTAAGGAATTTCCATCACCCTTTGAGATAGGGTGATTGAATTAGATTAGACAAATAGGAAGAGACAATTTTTGGTTTGGCTTTAGATAAGGAAGAAGCCACAAGCCTCACAGTGAAATCTTGTCGTGTCCCTATGGGTCAAATTTTTTGTTTTTTCAAGATGCTCTTAACCCTACTTAACTATTTTTTTTAATTAAATCAACCCTTTTGAATATTCTGATTAATTGATAATTTCGTTGAACAATATACATCTAGTTTCATTGATAATACATTATGATTGAAATTGTATTGCTTAATTATATCAACGATCGATAAAGTTGTCCGATGTAGGACATTTAGCTTCAAAAATACATAAGAAAAACAATACTAATCTAGTTTTGTCAATAATTATGTGATAAATCGACCACGGAAGACATATATATATATTTGTTTAATGATTTAGTCGCACTTCAAAAGTCATTAATAAAATTATAAAACAAGCGCTATTGATATAGTTTCATTGATAATACGTAATAATTTTTCATAAATGATTAAACTTTAGATTAATGATATAGTTTTATTTTAAAGAAAATAAACAAAAATGATGTAATGTGATAAATTTGTTTCACATAAGATAAGTTTTTCTATTTGATGATTTATTCGAACTTTAAAAGCAAATTATGTAGTCATAATCAACAGCATATTTGACTAGAATTTAATACTCTTTCAAGTGTGGAAAAAAAAAAAAAAAACAAATAAATACTAATAATTGAACAGTAGTTAAGTATGGACTGAAAATTCAACAAGTCAGCCAGAAACTCAACCGAAATTTGAGACTAAATAATTAAAGAACTTGACTAAATAGAAAATGCTAGTTATTGATCATGTTCTTCAGTTGACTAAAAGAATGAGGACGCGAATATATAAAAATAGGGTTTGTAAAAGGGACGTGAAAGAAAATTCTGAAAGTTATAAGAAGAAGAAGTCGTCTTAAGACGAATGACAGAGCGTTTGATTAACTAATCAAGTTGTAAATTAATTAATATTTTTTAACCATTTAATTTCCACAAAAGGGTTGGTGAATATTCAACTGACGTGCGTGAATGATTGAAAACAGGTCATTTATTCTTACAAATACATGATTTTAATGTTTAATTATCTACTTATTGTGACTTCTTCCTTCTACTAGCTTATACAATAATTAATTCAGCTTATATTAATTAATTTATGGGTCAAATTTTTTGGCTCTTGAAAGATTATAAAGAAGAAGATTAATTATATTAATTTGATTACATGCAAGATAATTAAATACCTAATCTCGATCTACAGTTTTTGGTTTTGTGATATGAAATCGTTTTAATCCTACAAAATCTGGGGAAAATCCTTTAATTAATTAACTACTAAAAAATTCTCAGAAAAATTAATTGAAAAGATATTAATAGTTTTCTCATCAAGAGAAGTCACCGAACAAATCAGAATTATTAGCACAAAAAATATGTTTCGAGTATTGACTTTTTGAAAATTCAGCACAATGTTACTTAAACATTAATATAAATATATAATTAATTAAAGTAGATTCTGAAATTGTTCTTGATTTCAAAAAGGAAGTTGGCAAGAAACAAATAAATTTTGACTAATACAAAGGAACCCACTTAGCACATTCTTTCTATTTTTTTATTTTTATTTTTTATTTCTATTATTTGACAAGAAAACGAGTTTGAGAGGTTACAGTATGAACTGAAACCAGCTATTTAATTATATATAGATACATAATTATGGATCATATTATTATAAAAGGGATCATATGATATGTTAGAAAAGTACACATAAAATAATAAAATTGATGCAGAAGAGAATATTTAAGCTAGCTGTTTACAGCATATAAATCATAAGCCAACTATAAAGCTAACTCAGCAAGCATATATTAATTTTCAGAGATTTTGTCAGAATTTTTTTTATAATTTTATCAATGTTACGCGGCTTCCATGATTGGCTTCCATGAAATTCTGGGATTCCAAGAATCAATTTAATTTTATTAATTAATTTATAAGAACTTAATCACAAGTGAAATGGGCAGTCATGAAGTTAGTTTAACTGATATTTAATTCACTTTAATTAATGTTCTAAGTACGCAGTTATGCTTCTATGTATATTAAAAATTAATAATGCATGTGGTTATACTGTTTATGGATTAATGCTAATTGAAATTCTTGGTGGCTAAGTAATTCATAATTCATTTGCAAACATATATTTAATTTCCGAAGTCGGTATTCAAATTTCAAAATATTCATTGCTCTTATTCGCATTCAAA